TTCAGAATTTTAATAAAAAACATGTGGTGGTTGATGCCCGCGATGGAAAAATAGTTTATAAACATTGTTCAATTCTCAGCTTCACCAATAAATGGAAAACGGTAATGAATTTGTAGCGACAGGAAACAGAGCCAATTGCAGAGCCACTGTAGGGTCGTGTGACCCACCAACTTTCAACTTAATTGTATTGAAGTAGAAGAGCTCGCCGCTTGTTTCCCTTGAAAATCAAAACATTTTGCAAACCTCTTGCGATTCCGATTATAGAAAATTAGAACCCACTACTGGATTCAGCCTCTTATAATCCCGCGATTCCGATTCAATCACTGGCCGTCACTGACTAATTGAAGAACCAACAAAAGAAGCAAAACAGAGTGACCCTTCTGCTACTAATGGCTCAGATTGACCCATCTGATAAGTTAATTTTGCTTTGGCCTTTGCTTCTGTTGATTGTAAATGTATCTCAGATTCTCATTACATGGAATTTGGAAATATATTTGTATTAATGCTTAGACCACCCGTATTTGTTCTTGTGGAATAGAATTATAGAAACCCTGCATGACCTGTGGTCTGTGTCAGTCAAACATTGCACAAATTCAAGAATTTTAAATAAAACAGCTGGTCTTAATATTAATCCCTGTCCGTTTTCCATTATTTGGATACAAGAACGCATTTTTTGACCCCCTTTTTAGCACATGGGTCCCATTGTGAGATAGAAAGTCATAAAAATCAGCTGCTACATTTGCAAGGGTCTGAAAAGCTATTAGAATGAGGCAAAGAAATTTGAAACAGACAGGGACTTAATGCTAATGCCCCCGTTTGGCCCCCATTATCATTTTTATTCTTTTTTTCTCTCTTATTTTTAACCACACAATCTTTCATAAAATAATATTACACGTAAATCAAAAACTTTTCATTCTTTTTCAACCATACATTTAAAAAAAAAACAATATTTCTACCATTAAAATTTGACAAGAATGGAGGCCAAACGGGACAATCTAACCTTTTCGAATGGTGATACAATTTGTTGAAACTCACGAGATTGGAGATTAAGCCTTGTATTAACTAAGTTCATGAGATTAGTACAAAAGCAGTGTTCATACCTTTTTTGCAAGTTTGATTATGTCACCAACTCAAAATATCTGTGTCCGTCACTTGATGCTGTTGTAGCACCTGATAGGTCACTTATTTTTATTTGTTGGCCTTTGTCTAATAAAAACTGTCAATTGTATCTGTAAACAATCTGGCAATGCATTAATCTGCACATGTAACATTGTCCCCCCTTTTTCTTTATCTCAATAATTTAAGTTGTTATTTAAAGGTGGTGATATGATGACTGTATGTTATTGTTCTCAAATTAGTATTACAAACAGTTTAATAACTCATATTTCATACTATATTAATTGTTTGTTAGTTGGCGTTTAATTACAACTGATTATCCTTTTCTTTTCCATATTAACAAATCAAGTGAGATCATCTTCTAAAGCGATTGGATTGCAGGAAGATGATAGAGAACATTGCCAAAAATTTCGGAGAACTCCCAATACACGAATTTGGGTTCTTTTTTCAAGTCTAACAAACTTTGGAAGATATTTTACAAATAATTGATTTTTGAACTTTTAAAAAAGAATTATGGATTTGGGCATAATTTCCTTGCTAATTTTTCTTGTGTTAATTGTCTAATGCCGTATATCACATTTAGTTACAATTTTTTTTTTTTTTTTTATGCCCATTACCTGAAAATGAAAATGAGGGAAATAATATATTTTAGAAAAATGAGTGGTTGAAAAAAAAGGAAAATTTTTCGATTTATGTGTAATATTATTTTATGAAAGATTGTGTGGTTGAAAATAAGAGAGAGAAAAATGGAAAGTAATATAATTTAATTTAATGTCGATCAAACAGGGGCTTAAATTGTTAATTATAATCTTATCGTATTTAATCACAAATCATTATTTATTTCTTTGCAAATTTTAGATTGTTAATTATAATGTTATGGAGAGTATTGACTTTTTGGTTTAATTTTTGATAATTTTTGAATGGTACTAGCAAAAGAAAGTGAGATAATCTTCTGTATGATTGGACTACAATTTATATTAAGAAGAAAAGAGAGAACATTGGAAGAAACTAAGGAGAAGAACTCGCAATACAAAAATTTGGATTTTTTTTTAGCCTCAATTAATAGTAATTTCTATATTAAAAATTTTATTCTAATAAAATGAAAAAAAAATTACAATTGTTTTTTATGAAGCATAAATTTTTAAATGTTAATATTCTTCAAAATCACAATTTTACAAGTTATTATATTAAAATAATATTTCATCATTGCTTCTGAATAGCACACCTTTATTACTTAATATTTATAAGCATATTATATTATTGCTTTCTAAAAAGCATAATTTATATATCAATATTTATGAATAATAAAAATTATTACTTTTAGAAGGGTAAGAGTTTAAAATCAACATTCAAAAAGAATATCGAGTTATTTTTAAAAATCCTTATACCAAAAATATTTGATTTTGTTGTTCCTGAAAAGGTATAATTTCAGATATTACAATTTATTTCTTATGGAGAATACTGTTTAATCAAATAAATATTATAATATAATATTTTCAACCAAAAGAATAACTTTATCTAAATTATTTCTTTTTAAAAAAATATTATATTATTACTCCCACAGCATAATTTATAAGTTTTAGTTCTAGAGGAATATTATATTGTGCTCCTGAAGTAGTGCAAATTTCAAAAATTATCATATGATCTAATCTCATGAAATTTTGTAATCTATATGCTTTGTATTGTTCAATGTACTGAGACATGATTAGATTCAAAACATCACAAATTAGAGTGAAGAAGTCTCGATATCACATATTATTAAATGGTAACAAAATATTCAATTTATTGGTAATATATTATTCATTAGTCACAAATTAAACAGTTTGTTAGGCAGAATTAACAAAATAGTTGGTTACAAATGCCCATACTCCACGCCTTCCCACGCACAACAACTGCACCTACATCGCCACGACAACCACCTACAAACACTGTCATCATTTGCAAACCACCACCATAACTCCAGGTTTTTCCACACTTTCTACCACTAGCAACGAATACTCACGCGCCCTGCATCACGCAAAATCAACGCTTCCTAAGTTCGTCACCACCATCACCATCGCAACCTCACCAATACCACCAATATCACTACAACCTTACCACCACAACTAGCAATACTACCACCACCAATGGCAAACATCACCAACAAAACTCTCCCCAAAATCACTTCACAATCACCACAAAAATCATATCCAAAACACCTGCACAACTACCACAAATTAGATCCAAGATCAGTAACCATCGATCGCAAAAACAGATCTAGTCAATTATGACCGATGCGCTCTGAGCGTAACCATTATCGCATCTTTGCTGTAGCAGCGGCATCAAGCGACATCGTCGCTCAACGTGTAGCGACGACGACATCATCGTCACGATTGCCGACAGATAATGGGGAGAGGGAGAGAGGATTGAATTTTGGTGGAACGACGTTGGGGGTGAGGGTGGGCATATTAACTTAATTTTATAATATTATAGTAATATTGACTTATAATCTGATTTTTGTATAAAAAATTCTAAAATTGATTTTTGAAACGATATCTTAAAAAATCCGGTTCTATGTAATTTCCACTTTATTATGGTTTTCAGTCCAAAATTTTATTTAGACCGCATAAAACCATAAATTCAACTTCTACTTTAGATAGATGAAAATAGGCTTTATTTATCTTTGAAGCCGAAGGCCCACTCCGTAGTCAACGTGGAGAATTGGGCCGCCCGTTCCCAATTAGAGTGTGTAACTTATGCTTGCTAAATTTGGGTAAATAACTTGGAAAAATATAAGGGCAACTTACAAAATTACCCTTAAAATTATGAGTGTTTTTAAAAATCATATGAAAAATTATTTGGCAGTAAGAAATACTGTGTAAAATTAAAAAGTGACACAATGTCACTTTTTTTTTTAATAAAAATTGTCACTTTTTGAACACAATTCAAAAAAGTGACACAAACTCAAAAAAGTAACACAAACACTCCAAAAGTGACAAAATTTGAAAAAAAGAAAAAGAAAAAGAAAAAAGCAAAGGTGACACAAACTCAAAAAAAAAATGACAAACATCAAAATAACATCATCCATTTAGGTAACACCAGCAATCATGTTCTTAACAAAATCAGCGTATCCAGGACAATCCACGTGAGCATAGTGACGATTCTTAACATAATTAGAATGTCTAGGACAATCTACATGCTGATTATGTTAGGAAAATGTCACATATCATGTCACATTTTTAAGAAGATATTAAGAAGATAAAAAAATGACAAAATCTAAAAAGTTAAGAAACTCAAAAAAGTGTTTAAAAAAAAAAGTTTTTTGAAAGTAAAAAATATTGTGTAAATGTAAAAGTGACAGAATGTCACTTTTTTAACACAATTGAAAAAAAAAAAAAAAAAAGTGATACAAACTCAAAAAAAATTGACAATTAAAAAAAGTGACAAACTCAAAAAAAAAGTGGCAAAACTAAAAAAAAAAAAAAAAAGTGACACGAGCTCCAAAGAGTGACACACACCAAAATAGCGTCATCCATTTTGTTCGCCTAACATTTCATATAATTTTCCACCAGTCACCGTCTCACGTTACAACTTTTTCAATGTAGACTACATCCCCATCCTTCAAATCGAGATAGACTAGGTTACCTAGAAGACTAAGAAAATTCCCACTCCTAATTGTGCCATTTCCCACTATAATAGCAGGGCTCCAAATTAAGGGATAAGGGGACTATGATGGACAAAATCATAACACGGTATTTATAACGAATATATGGGTTGGGTAAAGGCTAATAGATATTTTTAATCATTTTTCTATGACTTCAAAATTTGCCATCAATATTTGTGTGACCCATAATAGCATGCTGTTCAACTACCAGAATTTTAAAATGAACACGCTACAAGTTAAGTACAGAACTCTAAAAAATGGTAGCATTCAAGAGATGGAGATTGTCTTCAAGTACAAACACCAACACACTTGATACAAAATTGTTAACTCCAAGTGTGGATATCAGATTTACAATATACAATATTATAATAATCAGCTATTCTTCAATTGTATATAACTAGCTAGATAGAAGTTGTCTACCACCCATCTATCTCTCCTCGCTAAAGCCGTTCCGTCTCACTCTGCTGTCCTAGTCCTCGAATCCTAAGGTGCGGTTGATTAGCAACAGTCGAGAACCTCACATTTTGTACAGGATTCTGTATTTCCTTCCACCACCTCCTGAACTATTATCTTCCTCAATGAATTTGCATCAGTGAGCAAATTCCCTACTTTAGACCTCAATGCATCGGACACTGCTTCCAAATCCATTATTCCACTACTGTTCACTACCCTTATTCTGTATTTCGCCACCAATCACTACCCTTCTTCATATCCGCTTTGCTAGTTCTATCATTGGTGCCGTTGCCAAACTTTCTTGAATACTTGCTGAGGCAAGTATCTCATAATTTCATTAGATGCCCTAACACAACATCATTTCTAATGATTGTCTTCATAAAAACCAAATTACACGAGAAAGTAAAAGAATTTACCAAGAAAAACTAACAAAACTTTGGTCGTCACCTCAAATTGAATGGAGAAAGAGGTATGGTTTGATGATGGCTGATGGAAAACGTTAAAAAGGGTCGCCAATTACCGACCAAATCATGAGAATCGCAGGAAATTGGCGGAGAGAAATCATTGGTCTAGGGTTAGGTTGGAGTTGAATTGCATTCTTTTTTCTTCTGAGAACATAAATTATACGATTAACGACAGATTTAAAAGTGAGAGGGTAGTAGTCAATTTTCCAATTAATGGGCCGTACTTGGCCTAATTATCCCAAAATATAATTACCTTCCAAGTTAGACCTTCCTGCCTTGAAAAATCAATCACAAAGAGAAAAATTGGATTATTCAGGTTTTTAATATGATTGGATTATAGTTTAATTTTTTGTTTGTATTCATATTAAATACTATATTTGTATAAATATATATTTTTTCAACAATTGAAGGTATTTTTGTATTTTTGTTTCGTCAATGACAATGAGATGGACAAAGGAATTATGTTGATTTTTGATATAACCACCAGCTTAATTGAAACAAGAGCTTAGAAACAAATTTAGAATTTTGTTGGTTTCATTTGATGGGAATGATGGAGAATTATGGTGATGGTAGTGATAGTCACACAACATTATAGGTCTAAGGTCACAATCACAAAACATAATAGGTCAAAATCACATACGTATTAAAATGAAAGTTTGCAAATTACGGGGTGATATCTTGTTTGAGTACCATTTTTCAATAATACATTTTCCAAACTTATTTTCAATCATATATTTTCTTAATTAAATAATTTCACATGCAAATCTAAAACTTTTTCGATTTTTCAATTATATATTTTCCAAAACGATCACTATATCAAAATCTATTTTCACTAAATAATGGGACTCAAACAAGGGCATAAAGTGGTACATTGCAAAATTTTCAGAATTTTAATCAAAACATATGGTGGTTGATGCCCGTGATGGAAAAAATAGTTTATATACATTGTTCAATTCTCAGCTTCACCAATAAATGGAAAAACGGTAATGAATGAATTTGTGGCGACAGGAAGGAAACATGTATTTTTGGTAAAAATCATGTTGGAAAATTATGGCCAAATTCTTCATCTACTCTAGAAAAATCACCTATGGATGTGTATATATATCAAATATTAGGTTTGCAAAACCCATTGTATTGAAGTAGAATACCAAAAATATTTTATTTTGTTGTTCCCGAAAAGGTACAAATTCAGACATTGCAGTTTATTTCTTATGAGGAATATAGTTTAATCAAATAAATGTTATAAAGGAATATTTTCAGCCCAAAGAGTAACTTTATATAAATTAATTTTTTTTTAAAATTATATTATTACTCCCACATAGTATAATTTATAAGTTTCAGGTCTAGAGGAATATGATATTGTGCTCATGAAGTGGTTCAAAATTCAAAAATTATCATATGATCTAATCTCTTGAAATATTGTAATCTATATTCTTTGTATTGTTCATTGTACTGAGACGTGATAAGATTCAAAACATCACAAATTAGAGTCAAAAAGTCTCGATTGTCATTGTTCTGGAGCGACAAGTGTTTATAGTGTGTGTAGAATTTGTTGGATGTGTTATGATTGAAATTATGAGCTTAAAATCTACAATAATTGGAGGTGAATTGTTTTGAGATCCTCGGTCAAAAAATGATGCCTTGCTCTTTCACAACCTAAATTAAACTAAAATATCTAACAGTGCCCTTTGCCCTTTCACCTAGGAAGCGATTAATGAACGTCTACAAGCAGACGCCTCACACCGTCGAATGATCACACATGTCTTACATCTAACGGTGCCCTTTGTCTATAAATACTAAGAACTCAGCTAAGAATAAGGTAAGTATGATATTGGTGTTATTCCACAATCAAGATATTCTATTTTGTCCTCTCACTTGAGTTAGTGCATTCCGGCACCTTCACCGCTGTCGATTGACATGATCGTCGTAGTGTATGTGGTTGTCGCCACTGCTAGTACCAGCCACGTACGCCTGACCATTTGCTGTTGCAGGCAGAGAGGAATACATAGAGTAGCTCTATGTTGACCATGTGAAGGGTCCAGTTCACAGGGTCAACAAAAAATATTGATGGTAAGAAAATAATTGCACGGAAAAATTAAAGAATGAATATGGGGGATAAATCTTTATGATATAATCCAATTTAATGAGCTGAATTCAATCAATGCATTGTTCCCCTTCCTTGATTATCAAGTCAGATCCTCATGCAACATGTAGAAATTGGATTGCTGCCTTTGTGAAACCCAAAGTTAATATGCCCAACCCATGACCCTGTTAAATGGCCCAATAGGAAGAATAATCTGGAAGCTCAATTGAATTAAAGAAAAACACGTTTTTTTAGTTGTGAAAAATGACTTTCACCTGATCTTGACACTTGACAATTGCTGGACCATTGGATCAAATGATTTGTTTCTTTCATATAAAAGAAACCAAAAATGCCTAGGGTTTAAGTTGCTCTCATTTTACGCAGCTTTCATTTTGAGTTAAAATTTTCTCTATACTTTGGCTCTCTCATCTTGGATCTTGTCATTTCTCTGTTGTTGGTTGAGAGTATGCATGATGTTATGAACTCTTGTGTGGGTTCTTCGTGTTGTTGAGGGGATTTTGCTGTCGTTGTTGCTGAAACTGTGTGTTCCATTTGTAACTCAAAACTGCTGTAATTTGGGCCAGTGTTTTCTAGTGGATTCGAGTTTATTCCTTCATGGATGCTCAACGGGGACTAGGCGATCTGATAAATCGCTGAACCTCGGGGTTTCGGCCAAAAATCGCTTGTGTTCTTTTACTGTTTTTCAGATCTACAAATCTTGATTTTTAGTCTTGCGATTTTCGATGGTTTTGAAACGTTCCTAGGTTCCTACAGTGGTATCAGAGCTTGAAATATTTTTCTTTTCTTTTTTTCAGTCACCTTCTAGTCGAGGATCTGAAATACCATTCACGGGCCGAAAAGAAAAGGGCAGATCTTGAAAGATCTACCAACATTATTTTTTTAAAAATTTTCTTCTTTTTCTTTCGAGTAACACTGAAATTATTTTTCTTTGGCACTGTAAGGTGTGCTTCTTTCACCTTTACAAAATCAGTGTGGGTGTCTCCTTTCTTTAAGAAACTAAAGTGTTCTTTTTGTTTGTGGAGTCCTCTTAATTCGGTTGGCGTTGTTCTTAAAACTGGAAAGAAATTCCTTGATACTGTAGGACTTGATCACCTGCAGTATTGGTGTTGATCTTCGTTTACAAAATAAATGAAGCCTATTGTGTTTTGTAAATGCTGCAGTATAGCGATAATTTTTTGAGTATATTTTAAGCTGTAAACTAACCTGTTTCTTGGTGAAATTCACAGACGCCTCTTGTCTATTTTTGTCGTACCTGCAGTCTGCAGACATTGAATTTGTGATTAATCAGTTTTTTGTATTGTATTGTTGGTACATTTAGTTCTTGGAAGTATTATTTTGATAATAAAATCATTTTTCCAAACTAGGGTTTCACAGAACCTCCTCTAACTCTATCTCTGTTTAGAGTTCTCTGAGAACCCTAGAAACTTTGGGGATTAGGGCTTCGGTTCAAGAAACCTGTAATCTTCAAAACTGTTTTTTTTTAATTCTCACTGTGTGTGGATAATAAAACCAAAAATTATATTTTCAAAGTTAAATTCTTGTACATTCTGCGTGAACTGTATAATACTCAAATTGATCTTCTCAGGTGTTGAATTACCTAAGAATAATTGTTTCAAAGGTACATACATTGCATTTACAATTTTTTGTAACTTACTATGTGTGAGTTTATGTAATTAAATTCATTGCATGCTTAGTGATTTGAATATTGAATGTGTCTTAATTTGGTTGAAATAATTCTGTACATATCACACTAAAGCACAATCTATATAAAATTTGAAATCGGTATAATAAGACAGTGATCTTTGTGATTACTGTTGACTGAATTACTACTTGTGAACAATTTCACACTATAGCACATTATGAACTCTAAGGTAGATATCCAAATTTGGGATGGCAAAGGAGACTTTAGTCTCTGGCGTCAGAAAATAAAAGCACTCTTGTTACAGTTAAAATGTGCTAAGGCTATTGATGAATCTTGGCCAGAAATCTTATCTGAGGCTAGGAAAACTGAACAAAATGAACTAGCTTGGAGCACTTTGTTTCTACACTTATCTGATACTGTGATTAGGAAAGTAGAAGAAACTAAAACTGCTGTAGAATTGTGGAATGCCTTAGAAAAACACTACCTCACCAAGACTGTACCAAATAAATGTTTTCTTTGGAGACAGTTTTTTAGTTTTAAGTTTGATCATAATCTTGATACGGGAGATAATATGGATAGGTTTAATAGAATTACGCAAGACTTAACAAATTGCGATGAGAAAGTTTCTGATGAACAGAAGGTAGTTGGCATACTTAATGCTCTAGGGGATAAATATAAAGACATAAGAAATGCTCTAGAGTATGGTAGGAATGATCTCACTGTTGAAATAATTCACAGTTCTTTTCTGAACAAAGAACTTGAATTAAAATCTGAATACAAAGAAGTGTTCCATGTTAAGGGTGTGTCATCAAATCAAAAACCACATGTTAAAGGAGTAAGTAACCTCAGTCATTTCAATTTTAACAAAAGGCAATGGAATAACACTAAAGGAAGAGGCAAGAAACCAATTAAAGGAAAAGCGAACAGCAACAATAATAGAAAATGCTTTTACTGTGGAAAAATAGGTCACTTTATTAAAGACTGTTTTAAAAAGGTAAATGACAAAAAAAATGGGTCTAACACTGAAAATGCTTCTTTAGCAGCTGCTGCTAATTATAAAGAGCAGGTGCAAATATTGGGGTTGCCTATGTGTCTCTATCTGAAAATACTGATCAGGACTGGGTTCTGGATTCAGGTTGTTCCTTTCATATGACACCCAATATAGGCTGCATTTCAGACTTTTGTAGTCTGGATGGAGGATTTGTAAAACTTGGGAATGATGAGTCATGCCAAGTGAAGGGAATTGGAAATATACTGTTGAAATTTAAAAATAGTCATCACATGTTGTTAAAACATACAAGATATGTACCAGCACTTAGAAGAAATCTCATATCCCTAGGAGTTCTTGATGATGACAATTACCAAATTGGTATTAAAAATGGCTTTACAAATATAAT